ACCATATAAAACCCTGTGTTTGCTGGCTGCAGCGGGCAGACGGCGGCTGAGCTGAAGTGATCTGCTGTTTAATGGCCACCAGAGATCCTCCCTGCCAGTCATCATTACTATAGTGCCTCCTGTGTCACATTAATAATTCAGGAGGAAAACGTACAGCATCCTGTGATTCACCTGGGATTTAGGGGTTATACATTAAAACAAAAGAGGAGAGCTGAGCCGTGGTCCGTTACAGGCTGTGTAGGTCCCTCCAATTTTAAACCTGAAGAGAACCATCTAGACAGAGTAAGGGTTAACAGCTGTCTGACATTTTGTATGAAATATTAATAATCTGGACACGCTGTAGCCACCTCTGTCAACATTGTTAGGTAGTGAACATGCTAAAAAATGTAGCTCCTGGGGAAATTATTTGGAAAAAACATCCCAGGAGATGAAGAATGTGCTGATACAAGGTGAAGAAGCTACTGTTTGATTTACTCGCTCTCTTTAAGGCAAAAAAAGGTCTGTGCTGCTGCTCCTCTCTGAAGTAAGGCTAAAGCTGAAGTCGAAGCTGATGAATTTTGAAGAGGATGGGGGGTGACCCACATTTCTGCAGGAACACGCCACACACCATAGCATGTCGACCTCGTTCATCCCACTTTAACTCTCTCAGAGAAAGGGTCTGTAACCACATTTACACAGAGTGAACGTGATGCATTCAGAGCTCCTGCACCGATCACACGTTGGTTCCCTGCTGCTGGGATCATATTGAAGTTCAGGAGTGACGAGTGAACAAGGATTTCGATAGCCGATAGCGAATTTTTCTTCAAATTTAGCACAAGCATTTTTGGCCATGACTCAAGAATTTATGACCATATTTCACAGTCAGCCGGACACTGAATTGGTGATACTCTAAGGTCAAAGGTCAAAGGTCATTGTGAGCTCAAAATAGGATTTTACCCGTACTTTAAGAATGGCTTATTCCAGATTTCACACACAGGGACGACACAATGAGTAAACAATAAGTAGCAGAGTACGGGTTTCATCTTTCCATCTCGTTCATTCTGCCTTTCACCTGCGGCCTCGTTCTGAATGTCGAGCGTCATCAAAATCATGTGGCTGCAAACAACGTTTTGGAGCGTGCCTAGTTAATCATGATCCTGTAAGTGAGTTTCACCTACAGCTCATACAGAGGCTTTCATCATCTACTAAGTATGGAGAATATTTTGCATACCCTGAGACAGAGATACAGGCGATGCGCCACTCATTTACTTAACTTTGCGACTTAGTTTGGAGAGGACAGATGCTTGTTGTTTAAATCCCAGGAGCACTGATGAACAAAGTGGCTACAGAGGAAAATGAGAAAAATTCAATGTCATGTTGAGATGCTATAAAGTAGAGCAGAATAACAAGACCTCTGACACAGAGTGAATAAAGTTTTATTTTAAAGGGTAAAGCTGTGGTTATCTGTCCTTATAAACATATGAAAAGACCAAAACGAATGTGTTAGTCTCTCAATAAGTCTGACTTCCCTACATTGTCTGTGTCTCTGATGTTGGTTACTACTGACTACAGAACTCTTTAAAAAGGTTTAAATTAAAGGCTCAGTAACTTCCTTAAGTTGGTAGACCCTGAAGTCTGTTGAAAATGCGACTCAAACAGGAGTATGGAGCGTTTGTGGGGGGCTATTTTCAGTCACGGGGTTATGGCTGTAGAGAGTTTACAGCAGCAGCACGGTGTATGTGTGATTAAATTAAAAAAAACTATAGTGCCCATGTTGAGTGCAATAAAGGAACAGTGGAATGGTGTAGCTCACTGATGTGTTTCTAATAGTTTAAAGTCTGTGACTCAGATAAATAAGCTATGTCAGGCTTTAGATAGACAGACAATAGGTAGGAGAGTGCATTCATTGTTGGTTTTGAACTGTTATAAGATGTTGATCATAAAGAAAATATAAAATATAAAAACACTTATCCTTTAAAGCCTCACTGAGCTGCTGTGCAGAGCTCTTCATCCAAAGACTCACACCTGGTGTATAAAGCACAAACCTGGACCCTCTTGCAATGTCAGAACGTAATAAAATTAAATGAGTCACTGTTTTCCCATGACACTATTTACATTTGAAGGTTTTCCTTGTGTATTATCGAACTACACCCAGTGCCAGACTGAGATGAAAGTACTGAAGGACTGAAGCTGTTCTGAACACATCGGGGGAGGATCATATTTTGATCAGTATTTCTGTTCCTCTGTCCACCTGCTGAATGTTCAGTAATGACTGTATTTACATGTTTACACCAAGTTCATTTCTCATCCATGTCTGCTTTTCTTTTCTGCCAACTGGAGCCCAGCTTCTCCCAGCACACCTGTGGTCTTTAATTGGTAGATTGATTCTGCCATCTGTAAGCCCGGCCACCTGCAGGAAACACCAGACTCACTGGTGGTAAAATGCCACAGAGTTACAAAACAGCAAGCAGACCACAATGTGGCTTTGTGGCCAGATGTCCCTGCTAGAGCACAGACCCAGTGACAAATGATCTATTATACGTTTGAAGAAACATGAATTTTGAATGGTGGAAAAGATGAAAACCTTCCCCACACTGTGCTGAGAAAGCAGTGAGTCACCTAGCCTTCCTCGGAGCTATGATATTAGTGCAGAGCTGAGAAATTAAATGAGTGCATTTCCTCTGCTCAGAAGCCAAAGTTTAACTGTCTCCTCACTCGTGTTTACTCAGGACAGAAAGAGGCAGCAGGAATGTGTGCTCAGTGTGTACTCAGGGAGGGCTGCGTCACGACACCACGCCCACTTCAGCACACAATTCAAAGATAGTGTTGTACAGTCACAGCACGACTGCAATACGAGGCTCAGATAAATATTAGTTTCGCTTTACTGATGTTGTTGACCGAGTATTTGTCATGTATGCCCAGTACTTCAGTACTGAGTATCATGTGGCACAGTTGCTCGGCTGCCAGAAGTTGTTATAAACTATTGACTTCTTCACACTCAGTTGCCAGTTTATTAAAACTAGCTTCTAAACTAACTTACAAATGTCTGTCAGGACTAGAGACACCCAGCTTTTAACTGGCACAATCCCGGATGCTGATTTTGTTTTCCTAGGATGGTGAAGCAATGACACACCCTATTCTGCCTCTGATTGGCAAGTACCTGCTGCCTCTGTTGTTTGGGCTGGTTAGGTTTAGGGGTGAGGGTTTTAAGGACTAGGGTAGAATATGAAGGTAAGAAGGGTCATTGCTTTGCCACCAATACGACCAAATACTTGCAAAACATTCTCATCAGCCTCAGCTGTAGGGCTACTTTGTGTTTAGTAATTAGCAAATTAGCACTAATAAACCAGAAACATGCTAACACTAAAATTTAATAATTAACATCGTGAACATCAGCTAGTTCTGAAAACCTATGTGACTAAATACAGCCTCACAGAGCCACTATGATGTCTTCATCCTTTATCTTGTTCTAAAGGAGATCACAATAAGTGAATAATATACCAAAGCATATCTATATTCAGCACTCTGACATTTTTAAATGCAAAGGTATCTGTAAATCATCATCATTTCCTCTATTAAATCCCCACCTCACGTCTGAAAGGTCTCTTCACTGGATGCAATGCAGCTGCAGTTCAGCTTAAAATGCTGATAACACTGATGTCATGATGTGCCTTTGGTTGCAAATGAAGCTGAGATGATGTCTGCTGGTTCATTAGTGCTAATTCATGTAAAGCGAAGGGAAGAGGCGAGAGAAGAAAGGACGAGGATGAAAGAGATGATAATGAATAAGGACTGAAGGAGGCTGGTGTGGGCTTTACGCAGATCCCTCCACTCCATTCAATTTTTATTTCCCAACTTCATTTACACAAATTCTGCACTGGCAGAATTTTGTCCCTCTCCTCAGTGCCTTATATAACTTTATATTTATTAATTTCTGATCTCCATGGTTGGTGTTATTGAAAAGTCATTTTTGTGCAAATCAGGTTATTCACAGCAGTTTACTTTTATTAGGCACTGCAGCGAGATTGAGAATCTGTGTGTGTGTGTGTGTTCACGTACAGCATTCAAATCACATCCTTTCTCTGAGTAACAGTTGCGTCAGAAGAAATCAGATCCCCTTAGCATTTCCACAACGCAGCTAGGAATGACATTTTCACTGCTGCTCCCTGTGGACCATTTGTCATAATCTAAGTGGCCATACTTCATGTGGAAGAGCCATTAATCGCAGGGTTGGTGGTTCAAACACTGGCACCATGTGTCATGGTGTGTTTTGGCGAGATACTGAACCCCATACTGCTCACGATTAAGTGTGTATGGGCACTGGGAAAAACAAGAGTCTCTGTGAGGCTCTACTTCGGCACAGCAGGGCTTTGAGCTAAATGCTAATGTCTTGATGCTTATAATAACAATGATAACAACATACTGATGTGTAGTCATTGTTTACCATGTTCATGTTCTTATTCTAGGGTGTTAGCAAGCTTACATTATGGAAATTTAAGCAATCACCAAAATAAGTGCAATTCATCCCAGGAGGTATGGATATATGCACTCAATTTCATAACAATCCATCTAACTGTTGTTGAAATATTTTAGTCTGGACCAGAGTGGTGGACAGACACACTCATGGCTAACAAGTCAGTCTCTTTGTACAAAAGCATCCACAAAATGAATGTGTCTGTGTGCATTGGCATGCAGGTGTGCAGATAATTAGCGGAAGTCTTGTCGTGAATTTCAGGGAGCGATAAAGCTTTGCTAATAGAAGTTGAGAAATGTGGGTGTTCTCTGAATGTCAGGCTCGGAGCCTAATTGGGCTGCTGTGGAGCTGTCAAATGTCTACCAATTACTCGTACTTGTAAACCTGAAAATCATTGTCTTATTTTAATTAATGCTTTTAACACTGGCCAAAAGACAAACACATCATCAAGGACTGTTGTAGCCAGCCCATTTATTGGATATTTCTCATTTAGTTTTAAGTTATTAATGTCCTTTGTGTCTGTTTGACCTCATCTAGGTTTCCTGAGAGTGGCCACCTCTTGTCAGCATCCCCAACAGAAAATTAACAGAAGAAACCCTGGAGGGAAGTTCAGACTATGCCAGCGCTAAAAGAACAACACCTGAATCATTAGCACAACGTTACAGAAAGAGGAGCACTTTGCAACACAATGTAGTTCTTTCTGACTTCCTCAATGCAACATCTTTGCTTGGCTGATTTCATTGGACGAGTGTAGACTGAAGCACCAATGGAGCAAGTCGTGGACGATCTGAACCTCTCCTTTCTGCTGGAACATGAAAGAGAGATGATCCTAAAGGTGCTGCAGAAAGACGAGAAACTGAGGAAACGAGAGGAGAAGAGGATACGGTGAGGACTTCAGTATCAACATTTGAAGTCGTCTCGCTCTCAGTTTTCTGAATATTTCTTCATGTTCTCCTCTTTCTGTCCCACAGGAAGCTGAAGAACGAGCTGCTGGAGATCAAACGAAAAGGTTCCCGTCGCCCTCAAGATGTGTCTGAGCGACAGTGCGCTCGCTGCATGAAGACTTTGGGCCTGATCTTCGACCGCGGAGATCTTTGCGAGGACTGTCAGCTGCGCGTCTGCAATGACTGCCGCGTCAAACATCCCAACTCGCGCCAGTGGAAGTGTAACGTTTGTGCCAAGATCTCGTAAGTGTGATGCCCGCAGGGACCAGAACAGGAGTGTACTCCAGATGGTTTGGATTAGATGGTTAATGACACCACATCTGTCTCTATTTGTGTGTGTGAGGGCCTCAGGTGTTTCAGTGCTTTGATCTTCCAGAAGGCTTAAAAAAAGAATCCACCTAAACGCAATTACTAAAAACCTTTTTTCACAGCAGACATTTTGCAGGAACTGCACAGGTGTAACTGACAACATTAAAAACAACTCTATTGCATTCAAGTGGGCTAGTTTCTGATATTGTGCAGGCAGGCTTACATTGACACCTTATGTAACTGAGCTTCCCGCTAAGTCAGAATGTCTGCTGTGAAAAGGTTTATTTTTCAGTGTTGCTAACTGAGTATCGACTATATTAACACACAGATGTCACTGTATATAAATCATGTTCGTTTTGTTAGAAGAACACGCAGCAATTGGTGTTGTTGCTGGATTTGCGCGCTCATTTACTGCCAGTCGTTACTGACCCAGGGATCAGTGTGTTGTCTACTGTATTTACTCAGTCGTAAGGTTTTCTCCTTCTTGACTGTTCGAGTTGGCTTATCTGTGCAAGTTGAAGGAATCAATCTTAAACATTATTGTTTAACATTATTAAAACTTTGGGGATCACTGGTTTATACATTCTAGACAAAGAAGAGCTGTGGGATATTTACAGCTCTGCTACAATGGAACAATAAGAAACTAACCAAGTCATTACTGGTGAACATCAGGGTTGTCTGTTCCTCTGAGTCAATTAGCAGTGGGTTCTTTTTACAATCGCTTAGCACACACAGCATTCAATACACAATAAGACAATCGATTGCAGGGATACTGAGTTCTCTGCCGCCGCTAGTCTGAATTATCACATTGCCGCCACAAGAAGTTGTTTTTGAATAAGTCTGAGAAGTAAAACTTTTCTGAGGTTTGTGCTCTCTCCACCTACACGTGTAACCCACAGCTAAAGTTCACTTGCAGCAAATCACCAACTGAAACCCAAGAAGATAAAGCAGAAGGAGAAAAAGTGGCTGCACAACACGGTATCCCCCACAGACTCTTAAAGGGGAACTTGGCAACTTTTTCAGCTTAATAAACCCGTTTAGAAATCATTTGGAGGGTTAAATGGCCTGTTCTGGTGAAAATGG